TCGGTCCCACTATTATGTATCCTGTTGTCCGACCATTAATGTATCGACTAGTATTCTAGTCGTGTTTTTATTTTTTTCTCGCGCTAAAAGGGCGTGGGTTATCAATAAAATGAGATCGATGAACTTAGTTTTGGTCTCCGAGCGAGTAAAAGGGCGTGGTGGCGATTATTTTTTGGTCACCGAGTAAAAGGGCGTGGAGTAATAAAACTGTTCACAAACATTAATTTTTATTTCCAATATTATATTTTAAAATTATAATTTTTTGTGATCGTTGCTCTTTTTCCCAATTTTATTAGATGTGTATTAAAAATGATTCGCAATATATATGTGTAACCATCGAACATTTTCTGTAGTTATAAATACTATAAAATTTCAGCATTAATATCACTTATAATAAATCTGACCAATCATATTTAATTGTATGAGTAATGATCTGCAAAATTTCTGCGCCTTTGATGTGACGACAATATAGAATTTCCATGGATCACGAATCCCTAACATTAACCATTACCCTTACTCTAATTCTAGTCATACCGATACCTCTATCCTAATTTGGGCCAATCCATTTAATTTCTGTTCCCATTTACGACATATGTATGCATGAAATAAAATAATAACGTGAAATAAATAAGAATAAAAATGCGAAACTATATTCAAGCAAAAAATACTGAAGATAATCGTAATCATGAGTACGATTATGTCATCAATCCAAAATAGTTAAACGAGAAAATTACCTCCGACAATTATATGGGCAATATAGTAACGTTAATATCGAAATTAAAGGTGATTTGGCAACTTGACTCGCTAAACAAGGGTAAAATATCACTTAACAATAGGCGACTTTGCATTACTCGCATATTCTGTCCAACTACCATCATAAACAGCAATCTGCCGCGCTCCAACTTTTTCTAAAGCGAAATACAGCGTCGACGCAGTAATACCACTACCGCAACTCAACACGATTGGTTTCTTAAGATCGACTTTCTTTGATTCAAAGAGCTTCTTTAATGAGTCGTTGTCGAGAAGTGTGTTTTTGGTTGATGGATCAATGACGGCGTGGAATGGGATGTTGATTGAGTATGGCATGTGACCATTCGAGAGACCTGGTCGTGGTTCAGGATCTACGCCTGTAAACCTAATAATATTTATTTATTATTGTTATTGTCATTGTCTTCAGGATCAGTGTTAGTTATTTGTCAAATTTTAAGAATAAAATAAATTTTAAAGATTTTACCGTTTTTCGGGTCTAGCATCAATAACTTGTTCAAAGTTTGACGTGTCTGGTCCTTGTTCAATATTTTTAATTATGTCCTGGTAACTGCGAACTAATTTATGATTTAGAGTAGGAGTACGATATTCCTTTGGCTAATTGAAAGAAATAAAATCTTATTGATTTCTATAGTATTAAATAAATAAACTAACATAAATATTCACCGTAATCGAAACAGGGCCACTCTCTATTTCTCTCTTTTCTTCTATCCATTTCGGCAAACCACCATCAAGTACAGATATTTTCTCGTGTCCAAAAGCCTATTTTATAAATTACACATAAATTATGATTACCGCAAAAATCTGAAAAATACAAGAGCTTTTGACTATATGAAGACCTTGAATGTCCAATATACGCGCGGAGATGAAAAAATCCCGACAGAATCATAAGCAACAATATGATCATTCTCGGATATCCCTAGATCGCCTAGAATTAATTAAATTAATCGCGCGCTACGTCAATAGAATTTTAATTGGGGTTATCGAAACTTAAAATTTGCTCATGATGAAAAGCTAGTATTTTGACCGACTGCTTTTGCGAAATTTTCGGGAGATGGTAACATGTGTGGTAAATCTACAGTTTTGTCTTTGATTTCGTCTATGCCAAAAGATCGTGCATTCTACAAAAAATTCGATTATTTTTATTTCCATCTCTTCAAACAAACATGGCATACTGAAAAACTAAAACCTTAATTCGTCGCTCCAAATACTCTTGATAAGGATCTCGGTTGCTTGCAGGCATATGCCAAGACCCGTCAACAGGGATAACAGAGTTTATGTTATCAGCAAGCCACATAGTGGACACAAATGGACTACTCGCAGTTTTGGAGGACGACATATCTGATATATGATGCTTCGTACATTTAATTTTTAGCGTGCTTTAACACAATATGAATTCCTTAGCAGAATTACAGAAAAATTTGCTTAATGTACTTCGAATAACACTCTTTCTGGCTGAAAGAAGGTATTTGAGACCGGAAGCCACCAATTTTGACTTTGGCAAAAAACCCATGGTGTAGTGTTTCGGAAGAAACGTTCTGCTCAGTGAACTTTCAGATTCGCCCGAAACTATACGAAATCCTAATTTGGAAATACCTTGTAGATCAAATAGGATGAAACTAGTCACGTCCTATCATATTTTGATACTATGGTGCTTTAAATGGGAATGATCAAAGTATAAGCACTATCTAATCAATGACGATAAATAAATAATTGCAAGAATGGCACATATTCCAGTATTTATTGTTATGGTGAGAAATACTGAATATACTCGAAATTCAAATTTTCAATTCTTTCTAAATCATATTTTTATAGGGTCCATCCGCATCAGGCAAAACCTCAATAGGCACGTTACTCGCCCAAAAACTCGGTTTTCCATTTCTCGATGGCGATGACCTACAACCAAAGTCCAATATCGAAAAAATGTCTTCAGGGCAACCATTAACAGACGATGAACGATTTCCGTGGCTACAAGTGGTTCTTGACACTTTTACACAATGGATTACACCTAACACTACTACGACGATGAAGATAAATACAGACTCATCATCATTGGCATCACCAAAAGGAATAATAGTCGCATGTTCAGCACTAAAACGTAGTTATCGAGATTTCTTGCGTAACAATGTCCCACCAAATAGTCGAGCACAAGTTTGGTTCGTCTACTTGAAAACGAGTAGGCAAGAATTGGAAAAACGAGTTCGGGAACGAAAAGGTCATTTTATGAAGGCAGGGATGTTGCAAAGTCAATTAGCTATTTTGGAACCCCCGATAATAAATTCGTCGTCGCCAAATGATAGCAAAGAAGAGTTAGAAGAAAGAGTTTTAGTCGTTGAAGCAAACAAGTCTCAAGAGGAAGTTGTGCAAGAAATTTTACGAAATATTGAAAATCTTTTGGCGACTCAGAATTTAATGTTATAGATAATAAGATAACGCTAATATGCGCTAACCAAATTTGTATCGAAAATATATAAAGCAATTTTTCTCAAAAGTTGAAAAACTTGTTACTGTTACCATTGCTGTCTTATTAGGTAATCCATTCGAAGTAAGTAACTGCGCCAATACCTAGACAAAAATGGCAATTCAGCAATAAAGAAAACGGTTATGACCACTTTTTTTAGCTATTTAGATTGTGTTCGAAAGACAAAAAAGATTTTCTTTAGAAATCTACGGTTGCACTAACACACTTACGGTTCTCTATTTACCAAGATTTTCCTTCTTTAACTTCTTGCATCGAGGCGAGATTTTTAAAAAAAATACGTGTATTTTAAGATCAAAAATATATTTTTTTGACTGAAATACAAAAAATAAGTAATGGTCAACATTATTATCGTTATTATTACATAGCAAGCAAAATACATAATAATGTCTACATAACAAAGAAGCCAGATCACGCAATCAACATACATGCAGTACTACCTAAAAAAAGATACTAGCTTCCTATATTAAAAACCCAGGAGAGTTAGAGTGTCGCGTTCGCGCTTTTTTCTCCACACTGACTATCAGTGTTTATTATATCTCAAAGAAACAGCCGAAAAAACTTATCTTTGTTATATAGTCATGTCAACAACAACAAGTGATCCTACTAATTCTTATACTCCTCCTGTGCTCCCCGCTCTTGTAAAGGTGCATATAAAAAACGCGTCGTTAATGTTGCAGTGTAAAACTTGTAATTTTTATGCAACTCTTGGCGACTTTTCTTACGCAAAGACGATAAATGTCCTTGGTCGTGTTGTTAAAATTACGTTATAAAATATGGTTTTTCAACTTGTTTTATTTTAATCTACAAGTACCCTTCGTCAATTGAAAGTGTCAATTCATCGTCGGTTGCTACCCCGTCTTCGAATGACGAACCTTTCTTTTATGATCTTATTGAGGAGCCAATAGAAATAGACGACGGGAAAGGAGAAACAAGTGTATCAGCAGCAGGGACAGTTGCATGTTTGTCTGGTAAAAACAAGGAAAATCTTAAGACGCTTAAAGAGGAGGTTAGTTAGATGGTTTTTTCTTTGATTCTTTTTCGTTAATGAATGAACGAACGTATTTCTATTAACAAGACACGTTTATAAAAAATATTATGTGCCGCAAAATTTAAATCTCCGCAAAAAAATTCCACTCCGATCGATCGTTGATTATTTTATAAATTACTTTCGATACGTATAAATCTAACAGGCATTCGCCAGCTACGATGAAATAGTCAACCAAGGTCGCGTTCAACGCTTAAACTTCCTCATCGAGAAATCATCACTATACGCGAACTTCCTCGCACAAAAGATGGAAGCACAAAAACAAGCATTGCTGGAACAAGCTACCGAACAAGAACGAAAACGTGTTGCTAAAGAATTGAAGAACCAAAAGGCTGCTGCATCTGCAGTTAAAAATAGTGGTGTTAATGGTCCAAGTTGTCGTACCAGAAGTGGTGGCGCTGGCGGGAGCAAGCAACAAGATGAAGCTTCTTCCAGTAAGACTACTAAAACTGGGACTAAACGTAAAACTAATCCATCGACCGAAGCAAATTACTATCTTGGTGATTATGTCAATAGTGAAGTGAGTTTTTTTCTGCTGACAATCTTTTCTTGATATTTACAAAATGATTTTGATATTAAATTGCTTAATGAAAATTTTTTCTTTTTATTAGGATTTGGCAAAACGCCGAAAACATGATGATTCTGATACGACATCTGACGAGGGTGAATCCATTACGCGTAATATCAAACCTACTCCGTCTATTCGACAACCAAGACTCGTCACTGGTGGTATCCTACGTGATTATCAGTTGGCGGGCTTTGAATGGTTGGTCAGCTTATACGATAATGGATTAAACGGTATCTTGGGAGACGAGATGGGATTGGGCAAGGTAAAAGAAAGACATATGTAAACTTTGAAGTATTCGATTCGATAGAAAATACCAAAAATTATCGAGATATTAATGATATCTGATTTCCTATTAACGAAATAGACTCTTCAAACGATTGCGTTCTTTGCATTTCTGTGGGAACGTAAAATCTACGGGCCGTTTCTGGTCGTCGCCCCCGTTTCTACTCTCGCGAATTGGGTTAGTGAATTCAATCGGTGAGTATAAATTAAATATCACCTCATATGAGTTAGTAAATAACTTTACGACTAGGATATATTGATAATGAATATGGTACATGTATGTGTGCACCTTAAAGATTCACACCTACTCTACCTGTTGCACTATACCACGGCTCGCCTGAGTGTCGTGCCCATCTTCGTAATACTCGTATGATAAAAGGAAATGTAGACAAAGTAGACGCAAAGTTCCCGATCGTGGTCACTAGTTATGAGATTGCTATGAGAGATCGCAAGTATTTACAGGTAAATTTATTTGTTGCTAACCTTATTAGTATTAGAATATACAGAATAGCGGCTAATTCTTTTCTTTTTGTTGTTCTCTTCACCTTAATTGTAGAAACTTAATTGGAAATATTTAGTCATAGACGAAGGCCATCGAATCAAGAATTATAATTGTAAATTGTTGAAAGAGCTCAGATTGTATAGTTCGGCAAATAGGCTGTTGTTAACTGGAACTCCTCTACAGGTAGTTTACTTTTGCACTTTTTTTTAGTTCTATATGATTCAAACATTTGCTCTTTATTTTATAATCTTGACCACCTTTTGTTCATATATTTATGATCAGAATAACTTGGGCGAGCTATGGAGCTTACTTAACTTCTTGTTACCTGATATATTCGACGACTGGGACACTTTTCAGAAATGGTATTGTTGCCTATGTGTAGTCCTGTTTCACACTGTAACTACTACTAACGATTGTAAAATTTGATAATGCTATTAAGGTTCGACTTCTCCGCGTTAAACGAAAAGAATGGTGAAAAGAAAATCCTTGAAAAAGAAGAGGAGAATCTGCTCATTACGAATCTGCACAAGATTCTTAAACCGTTCTTGTTGCGTCGTGTTAAAAGCGATGGTACATATGTTCTTCTGTGTTTGTTTCGAGTACAGAATCAAATCTAATTCTGAAATTAATAATTACGTGCAAAAATAGTGGAGCATTCTCTTCCTAAAAAAAGAGAGTACCTTGTATACGCTCCGTTCACGCGGGCTCAAAAAGAATTATATGACGCAATCGTGAATAAGAACATTCGTTCGTTTCTTATTAAGAAACATGCCAATTTACCACAAGAAAATGACGCCGCTGGTGACGATACTGATGACCATGACGGTAATGATAGTCCGAATCAATGGAAGAAACGGAAGATATAGACTTTATTACGAAATACTCATCCTCGACTTTTAAATTCCTATTCCTTCCCTCCTTAAATTCATGTTTCAATAAAAGTAACGGTGGACACTGCTCAAAACGATGACGTGGACAACGAAGTATACTCTGTTACTTTGAATCGAAAAGCACGAAAAGTGGACCGTGTAAATTACAAAGAAGACATTGATGACGATGAATATTTTGAATTGTTGGAGAAGAAAGCGTTTGAAGCTGAAGAAAAAGCAAAAGCTTCCCAAGATAGCAATAATCCCGAATATGTTAAGCTTCTAGCTAGTACGTTGGAATTCTTCACGTTATTAACCAATTTCTCATTAACACTAATCTATTTCTTCTCTTTCCACTTCAAAAAGCCAAAAAAGTCAACGCCATGAAACTTCAAAACACAATCATGCAACTCCGCAAAGTATGCAATCACCCGTACCTTTTCAACTGGCCCATCAATGCAACAACTAAAGAACCGATAGTCTCCGATGACTTGGTACACACTTCAGGAAAGATAATGCTTCTCGATCAACTGTTAACCGTGTTGCTCGAGCGTCAACATAAAGTGCTCGTTTTTTCGCAGTTCACCACAATGTTAGATATTATCGAGGATTGGATTACTATTATAAAAGGTTGGGATATTTGTCGGTTGGATGGTGCGGTGAGTCAAGAAGAGCGTAGACGTCAGGTAAATAAATGATTTTTTTGGAAGGGAAAGAGGTTTTGTTCATCTGTTACTAATGAGTTTTATCGTGATTTTTCGTTATCGAATAGATTCAAGAATTTAATACTAAACCTGAAAAAAAAGTCTTTATCTTGTCGACTCGAGCGGGTGGTTTGGGTATTAATTTGACGGCTGCTGATACTGTTATTATCTTTGATAGTGATTGGGTAAGCAACCTTAAAACTTTTCTTAATAATATTCACGTAAAAAATACCTTGCTAAAGTTAAATGTTCTATTATATTACAAAATAATAAGAACCCTCAAATGGACTTACAAGCTCAAGACCGCGTCCACCGAATCGGCCAATCTAAACCCGTAATCATTTATCGTCTCGTCACCGCCAACACCGTTGAGAGCAAGATCCTTGAAAAAGCCTCTGCGAAACGTAAGCTCGAAAAACTCGTAATCCACAAGGGCAAATTCAAGTCGCCCTCACAAGTGCACGAAGCCACTGCAAGTTTAGCCGAGTTGGCCGAGATCTTGAACGCTAACGATAACGAGGTTATACAGTGTGTGGAAAAGGGCGATCTTGTGATTCCCGACGACGAATTGGAACGGATTCTGGATCGAAGTGATAAGGCATTTGAGAAGGCTGAGAATGAGGTCGATTCGCAGGAGGGCGCTACATTCAAGGTTATTAGAGATAAGAAAGATTGTGAGGATACTTTGACGCAGATGTGTAACTAAGTGGTTAGTTAGTATCCCTTTAATAGTTTAGTTAATTATTCATTGTTAACAAATAATATAAATGGAAGAGTCTAATCGTAATAGATAATGTGAAAATAAAATTCTTTTTACTTGGGAGGTTTACAAATTATAATTTAAGATGAAGAATTACCAGAAAATTAAAGATATTACAATATAATCAGCCATCCAGATTAAGGTTGCTTGCTGAAATTCCTTAGTGATCATTTAAATTCTATCGAAATTATAATAAATTATTAATAAATAACCTGTTGAAATTCTGACAAATTTTGAAACCTGTCATAACTGAAATTATATCAAAATTCTAATTAATAATTAGTGTATAATCCATTGAAATTATGATAATATTTTTCTGAAAGAGTTTAGGCAAGCATCCTTAATCCAGATCATGTCTATAACTAACTAAAGCCTATAGAATTAATGAATAAATTATTTTTAGTTTGTAAGGAATAATAATACTATCTTCTTGAATGTTTGCAAGACTTTTATCAAGACATTGACTGTTTATATGAGCTAAGGTGAAGAACTTGTAAATATAAAGATTGAGTTCTATTTGAATTTTGAAAATATTATTGTCATATATTTTTATTTTCACTTTATAGTTAGTCCTCTTTATAATCACACTATTGGTCCAATAATATTATGTGATTAGAAAAAAGTGACTTTATTATAGTTGGTTCTTGAAAAGATAATCAGAAATTTGATTATAATCAAATCTCTTTATAGTTACATGTTTATAATTATTCTATTTTGCTTTTCCATTTATATATAAATATAATAAAAAAATTTCTTTATAGTTATATTAAAGAGATTTAATTATAATAATAATTCTTATTTCAATTTTTTGATTATAAATTAAAATTATATGATCTGGTACAAAAAGATTTGTATTTCAAAATAAAAATTAATAATTGCTTTTAATAAAAGTTATAATTTTTTATATTAGCAAAGAATAATTATTTACAATAGCAATCAAAAAGAATGGAATGCTAAAACAAATTTATTAATAAAATATAGTGAAAATACAAAAAATATGAGTTTTTTCTTTATATAAATTTTTCAATTTTACTAATAAATATTTTTTATTTTTATATTAAAATAAAGATAATATCACATATTTTAACATATATTTTTTTCAGATTTTTTAGATTTAATCTGATAAAGCTGTTCTAATTGCATATAAAGTCAATTATTTTTTTATAATTAAAACATATAAAAAAATAATTGACTTTATATGCAATTAGAACAGCTTTATCAGATTAAATCTAAAAAATCTGAAAAAATATATGTTAAAATATGTGATATTATCTTTATTTTAATATAAAATAAAAAATATTTATTAGTAAAATTGAAAACTTTTATATAAAAAGAAAAACTCACATTTTTCATATTTTATTAATAAATTTATTTTAGTGTTTGATTCTTTTTGATTGCTACTGTATATTATTTTTATTATTCTTTTATACTTTTATTCAATAATAAATAAAGCAATATTTTTCTAAAAAAATAAAATAAAAAATTATTTTATATATTTTAAGTATTGGTTTATCAATTTGCAATATTAAAAATATTAAAACTTTAAATTATACAAATATATTGCTATATATTTAATAAATATATTTTAAATTTTATAAAGATTGAATTAATAATTATTGTAAAATTAAGTTTTAAGTTTAATACTATATATAATAACTAACAAAATTATGAAATCACATGTGCAATTTTATTAATAAAATATAATTAAAATTGAAATTTTTATTTTATATAAAAGTTTTCAATTTATTAATAAATATTTTTTATTTTTATATTAAAAATAAAGATCATAAATTATAATTTAACATATATTTTTTCTGAATTTTTTAGATTTTTTTTTAATAAAATTGTTCTAATTACAAAGTTATTGCAAAAATTTTTATAATTAATTTTATATTTTAATTATAAAAAATAACTTTGCAAAAATAATTTTATCAGAAAAAATTTAAAAAATCCAGAAAAAATATATATTAAACTATAATTTATAATCTTTATTTAATATAAAAATAAAAAATATTTATTAATAAAATTGAAAACTTTTATATAAAATAAAAATTTTAATTTTATTATATTTTATTAACAAATCATATATATAATTACTAGTAAAAATTTTTTATAATATATATATGGGGGTGAGTTAACAGAAACCAAGCAAATTATATATGTAATACATATATCATTTGCCTGGTTTCTGTTGACTCACCCCCATATATATAATTAGAATTATTATTTTAATATTTAATAACTTAATTAAATAAAATAAAATTTTATTTTATTTTAAAAACAATTAATTTATTTAATAAAAGTTTTTGAAATATTATATTTTTTATTATTATATTTTTTTATTATTATAATATATACAAACTAAAAATAGTTAATTATACAAATTAGTTTCAAAATTTTAAATATATACTTAATCTTATAATTTGAAATCAAAACCAATAAAATTATAGAATTTTGTATAATAACAAGTTAAAAACTAATAAAATTATAATATTTTATATAACAAATTATATTTAACTCTTATAATTAATTAATTATTATATAATATTTTAATATTATTCTATTTATTAATAGTAATTAGTAAACTTTAATGCTTATAACTTTTTATATTATTATAATATGAATATTAGTTTTTATTTTATTGATTAATTTATATTATAATTTAATTGAATAAAATTTTATTATATTTTATTAGTTAAAATTTAGTTTTAATTTAATTGAACAATTAATTAATACTTTAATATTAATTTTTTATTTGTATTAATAATATTAATACTAATAATACTTGTATAAATACTAAGTAATACTAATAATATTCACAATTAATTAATTTATAAGCTTAATATTATTAATAAAATTGATTTACAAAATTAATAATATTAACAAAATTAATTTAATAAAATTAAATAAATTTTTTAGTTTTAGATTTTTAACAAAAGATTTTTTCTTTGAAAAAATTTTAAGTCTTTTATTTAAATATTTTTATTTGAGAATTCTTATTATATACTTTTTTATTTTAATTTTTGTTTTGAATTTTTGTTTTAATAATCAATCTCTATTAATATATGTTAATCAAGTTAATAATTATATTATAATCTCTAAGTTAGTATGATCAATTATATTATAATATTATTATAATTTCTGATAAAATAATTAAATATATTATTAACATATTAAAAAATTTGATTTTTTAAATTTAAATAAAATTTATTTATTATTATTTTAGAGCTTTTGTAGCTTAAGCAAATTTGTTATTTTGAGTAATATATTTTTTTATTAATAAATAATATTAGTAAGACCTATACTATATTTAGTATTAATAAGTTCAATTTATTTTTTTTTGAAATTAACTTTTATTATATTATATTAAATAATTTTTGAAAGATATTTACAAATTATTTTACTGAGCAAAAATATTTAACAAAAAGAAAGAAAAGATAATTTAAAATTATTCTTGAAATTGTTAAATTTTATATTATTATATTTGGAATAAGAACCAAAAATTATCCCTAAAAAATTCTCTTTTATTTTTATTTATGTATATTTTCATTATTAATATAAACTCTTAAATAAATACAAAAATATAATTTGTATTAATTATTAATAGAAAAATAATTATTTATTATTTGTTTACTTATTTATATTTATAATAGATAATAAAAAAATTTTAATTAATAATTATTTAAATAATTATTTATTATATTTTTTATATAAAAATTATTTTATTTTATTATTTTATAATTTATTAAATTTTATTATCACCCTTCTATTTATCAGAAAATTTTTATATATATTGTTATGATATGAATATTTAGTTCTTATTTTATTAGTTAATTCATATCATAAATTTAATTGAATGATATTTTATTATATTCTATTGATTAATTTCATATTTATATTTTATTGGATAGTTATTTTTAGATAGTTATTATTTTATTGAACAATTATATATTAAATATTATTGGTTCTTAGATTGTTAATTGATCTACATAATTAAATTTAATTGGAAAATTTATGTAACATTAAAGTGAGCGAATAATGTGTAATCAAAAAGTGAAGTACTTTTTGTAACCTTAATATCAATCAAAAATAGCTTTAATTGAGTAACAATAACTTATATAAATATAGCTTGTATCTTAGCTTAGCTTAGTTTAGCTCTCAAGTTCAATAATTCTTAGGTCTCAAGAATAATAAATAATAATTAAAAACATGTAATAAATTAATAATAAATTCATCTAATAATAAAATTATACTTTA